TACATACATGTAAATATACACATGTTTGTGTATTTGTATATACATAATAAATATACACAGTACACAAACATATATAAAAAAAACTTGATTTTGGATGCGATTAATCGCGATTAATCGTTTGACAGCACTACTAAATAATAATAATATACAAAGTAATAAATATTATTATAGTTACATTTCACTGTAAAATAAAATTGAAGAAAAAAAAAGATTTTTACTACTGTAAAATTACAACACTACTATTTATGGTACCCTTAAAGCTTCTTTTTAGCTGACAACAGTTTTTAAGCAGTTCAAATAAAAAATTGGGAATATGGTTGGTGCATGTTGCATTCTGAGATGCTGAAAACACTGGCTCATGTGTTTAAAGAGCATTTTTATACAATAACAATCAAATGACTACCAACTATAGACACAAACACAGACACATGTAAAAATGAGTCAAGAGTGATGGTGACAAAAAGTAAAGCACGCACGGATGTGCAAGTCTTTCCTTTATAATCGCAGTGCTTGATTTGTTTGGGCGAGATTCAAAGACAGAGTATTTAAAACCAAAAGGGTACACGTTGAGGACAATGCTGAAGCGATTTTGCATGGTCCTGATAAGTTATTTGCCAGACCTCATTTCAACCTGGTTGTCAAGGAAACTGGTCACAGTAGCTTATGACTGAGGAAATCTAATGAGAACTGAAGTCTTATTTTTGCACCCTTTAAACATTTATCAGTCAATGTAGAAAACCTTGAAGTATCTGAATAGTTATACACACTTATTTCCATTATGTGACGCATTTACAAGTAAAAGAGAATATTCAACTGGAATACCACAATGGAGCCAGATTAAAGGCATGTTTGCGAAAACAGTTCTTAAATAGCTATTTAGTGCTGTGCTAGGTATAATAAACAAGCATACAAATATATATGCAGAGACCAGGGCAAAATCAAGATTTTACCTTCAAGGATGCTAAAGGATGCTCAGGGCCAAGTAAACTCCAGTGAAAGGCAGCCAAGTCTTCATCAGGCAGTATGTGATTCCCTTCAAAAACAGCATTTAGTTATTTGATCATTTGATCATGAATTGCAGAAGTACTCTGGTTCACACTTCATTATTGCAGCTGGAAAACATTTAACAGCTATGAAATTCAACAATTTGTGACATTATTGATAATATTTGAGCCATTCTTTCTACTGCATTAGTAAATAAAGACAGTCAAGAAAGTTTTGAGATATTCAAGGTGGGAAAATCAAACTTACAAAAACGCTTAATAGTTTGCATAATATTGTAATAATTAATATATTACTAATTAATTAGAATATTCAAATAAATTATAATTACCTTAAAATAATAAAATACAAATAAATATATTCAACAGAGTCAACGTAAATCAGTTCCAAAATGGTTTACATAAAATTTTACATGTCTAATCTTATACAAAGTTTGGGGTCAGTTAGATGTATTAATGTTTTTGAAAGAGGTCTCTTATGCTCTACCAAGGCTGCATTTATTTGATTGATCCAAATTAATTAATTAATTAAACAGTAATGTTGTGAAATATTACAATTTAAAATAACTGTTATTTTAATATTTTAAAATGTCATTTATTGTGTGATGGCAAAGCTGAATTTTCACATGATCCTTCAGAAATCATTCGAATATGCTGATTTGCTGTTCAAGAAACATTCCCTATTATTATTAATGTTGAAAACAGTTGCCTTGCTTAGTATTTTTGTGGAAACCATGATTTTTCTGGATTTGATGAGCACAAAGTTTAAAACAACAGCATTTATCTGAAATATAATTTTTTTGTAAAATTATGTACATAACACTTCAATTTAGAACAACCTTGCTGAATAAAACCATACAAATAAAAAAAATTTACAAAAGAAAAATGTAAAGCGAGACTTGATTTTATCCACGGGAACTGATTGAATTGATTAAAATATTTGATGGATAAAATATTACAAAGAAAACCATTTTGTCTTTAGAAAAACATGCACAGCTGAATCCTTCACAATAGGGCTACACGATTAATCGAATGCGATTGTCATGCGCATCTTGTCAGTAAAGCTGGTTCTGTGATTAGTAGTAAATCTCCATCACATGTTTTCAGATGGAGCAGCATTTACTACACAGAGCCGTAGTTCACTGACAAGCTACGCAAAATTGCGTTCATAATCTCAGACAATTTAATCGCACGATTATGAAATCGAATAAATCGTTCTGCGATTATGAAAGCTGTTTGCATAGAGCGCCCTCTGGCCTTCAGATGGTGATTTACTAATGATCACAGAACTGTGCTTCACTGAAAGATACGCATGACAATCGCAGCTTCTGTCTAATCGCGATTTATTTTCAGTATTAATTTATTATCGATTAATTGTGCAGCCCTACTTCACAATATGACTAAGAACATGCATTAAGCAAATAGGACTAATGGCGATGTAATTTTGACTTGAAAACTGCCAGGCAATCCTACAAACCTACCTAAAATTGAAGCAAAAATGACAAAACGATTTGGATTGAGATTAAGTTGCTTGGCAACTTCGTGCATCAGGTATTGGCTGGTGGTGAGGCTTTTGCCATTGCGGCTGAGTTTGAGAGCATGGGCACTGAAGTAGTACGGGATGTTGCACAGGGCATAATCAGAATCATAGGCAACCAGGCCGTGGAACCCATTTTCCCTAAATAAGGCAATCACTTCGTGGTGATGATCCTCAATGGTCTGGACAACCTGAGTGAGGAAGCAAATTACAGAAAGGCTCATTAGAAGAACAAAAACAAATTTACATTGATGAGATTGACTATACTGCAGGGTTTCACAGATTTCCATGAAAGGATGCGAGGCACGATTAGTCTGGGAAATGTTATTTCTAATTGTATCATATAATGGTTTCTCTGTCAAATGTTTTAATCGATTAGCACTATTTGAATTAATCAATGAACCATGATTCTTGGCTGTGATGTGAATTTTAAAACTATTTATTGAACAAGAGGATGTTCACTGGGCTTTAACTGATAGAAAACAAGGCTTGACTCATAAACATATACATTTTTAAATCAATCATATTTCACATTTTCTGCCCCACATTTCGTAGCTTCTGTATTGACCCAATGTTTATGAGAACAGGAGATAAGACAAAAAATCCTAGTAGCATAATAACCACTTATGCTGAAAGTCCTCTGAAAAATAAACTAAACGAATACATGCAAATAAAAGCATTCATGGGCCAGAATCTCTCAAGTCATGTCTCTCTGCTCAAAACAGGGCCCATAAACTTAGTCACAGCCTGTATGGCTGCTAAATCTCAGCAGAAGTGACGCAGGGAGCATGCAACCAATCACAGAGCAGTGCTTATTATTCTTGTGCCACAACAGTGTGACACATCAGCCAATCACAGCAGAGAAGAGGTGGCGCTTCCTTTTTCCAGCACAGCCTACTACTACATGGTTTCATTTCAGCATTCATACATAAATGCATGTTTTTATTATATTCTGGGATGTTTGTATTTGGTTGTTAATGCATAAGGTTATTAGCGTGTAGACATACATTGCACTTTTAATTATTGTTGATGATCCAGGTAAAAATATTAAAATAATAAATATTTTATACATGTTTTTGTTATCATTTATACAACAATTACTTAATGTAGTTTTGTTATATTGTCATTCATTTTTCACCTGTGCATCCTTTTCATTCAGTTAATTTTTTTTCTCTGTAATAGTTGGAAACTGTATAAATACTGTATAATTAAAGGCGTAATATATATTTAATATGTATATATTAATAATAATAGTATATAATAATAATAATACTAATACTACTACTAATAATAATATATTTATAAGCAGTGAACCAAAACCATACAATCTGATTATGGTTTTAAAATATTAGGTTTTAATTTTTTTTTAGAGTTGCATGCACTGTTAAAGGCATTAAAATGTAAAAAAAAAAAAAAACCCGGCCTGGCACAGTTTTGGATTTGTTTCTAAACAAATTTCTAAAACACCATCTATTAAGCCAACATGACAGTAATGTCCTGTACAGCTGGCATCTCTATATTCCCCAAATGCCTGTGGAAATAAGATCTGATCGGAACAGACCTGTTTTCCTCTGCACACCCACCCCAAATATTTATGTTCCAACAAGTTGTAATCCTGTGTAAAAAAAACAAAATCTTAAACCAGTCTGAGCTGATTTGCAGGACTGTACGTTGGTTTTAGAGAGGTATAGGGCAGTTTTCAGCCGGTCAATCAGAGAAAGTCAAACCAGCTGTCCGTGTATATGATTTAAGACCTACACTGGTTTTCATATGAATAATGCCGTTTCAATAACAGCCTAGTTTGGTCTACTGGGCTGGTGTCAGCTTGGCCAGGCTGTGAGACCAGCTTAAATCAGCTGCTGATCTTGTTTTGAACATCTTTGTATACATGCAAAATGCTACATAAAAACCAGTATAGGTCTTGATTCAAATCTGAAGAAAACAGTTGCACTGACAGCCTAGTTTGATAACCTAGCCTGGTTCAACGACTGGTTTCAGAGTGGTTTGGTGAACTTTTCAACTTGTCTAGGCTGTGAGACCAGCAAGGCATCTTAGGCTGTTTTGGTTAAGCTAGATACACAACCAGAAAGCCGTCTAGGCCACCTGCTACCTGCCAACCTACTGTCTTCTAAGACGAGCACTCCACTTGATCTGGGTCTGGTTCTGGTTCTGCTAAGCTAATGGCAGCATATGTCAAAACACAACGAGTATCTGTCGCTACTCACCCCGATGTGGAACCTGAGGAGCGCCAGGCGGATGCAGTGGGCCATACACACCGGGGGCAGGAACCAGACCTTGGGCGGCGGGGTTCCCTTGTTCTGGACGTGGCTGACGATCTGCTGGGCGGTCTGCCTCTCGTTCACCTGTCGCTTGACCCACTCGTGGAGACGGCCTTTCTCCAGGGCGCCATTGAAGCACACTAGCAGCTCGATGTTGCCGTTGAAACAGGCTTTGGCGAGGGCGGCGAGGTACCCGAGCATGTGGTTCCACTGGCCTCCGCTCACCCAGTCGGTGTAGAAGCCGCCGTAGAGCCGGTGCAGGCAGTTCTCGGCGTCCACTAGCAGCCGGAGCGGAATTTGAGGGGGTCTCTGCCGGCCGCCGCCGACCAGACTCCCCTGGGCGAGCTTCTGGAGCTCCACCGGCACCACGGCGTTGGGGCAATGCTTCTCAATGTATTCCTGGAAACCCTGGACACCCATGACTGTTGTTGTACAATATGATATCTACGGTTATTTCGGGTTGAATAAGAACGTAAAATTGTCTGGAGGAAATGGAGCGAGAGAGAGAGAGTTGCAAGCAAGCAGCCTCTCCCGAATGCTGAAAACCGGACTGAAGAATATTGCGGCGGAGGTGGAAGTTGATCAATCGAAAATCAATCAAATCGGAGATGCATCTGTAGTTTTTGGTGAGTTGTTTTTTGGTTCATGGCTGCTAGCCGCCATGTGCACCCTTATGGAGCCATGTCTGTGGTCTGGTGTTGAGGGGAAAGAGAGGAGCGCAGAGACGCAGGGCACGTACAGTCACACTGGAGGAGGAGTCTGGAGTTTAGTGGGCGCGGTTCGCTTGGAGAACTGTTGCATGTTATGATACTCTCACTATTATAAAACGTCTCATAATGGCTGTTTAAAAAAAACACACACACACAAAAAAAACATATATATATATATATAAAAACACACACGAAAAACATTTCAAAGTTAGTAGTAAAACTTGTTATTAGTAAATGTTCTTAAAGTTAATAGCTTTTTTATACTTGGGGTCCATCTGTTGGTTGAGGGTCTGGTTGGGGTCCCTGGTTACAGCAAAACTAAATGGTTTTCTAGGTTCAATCGATAGAGGGCGCCAGCCCGTTATTTATATTGTACATTAGAAGCCAGACATTACTCATTAGAAGCAGACAGTTTAAGTAATTAAGTAATTTGAACTCTTTTAATGTAAAACAGATGGAGGACTTTAAAGAGATAGTTCACACTAAAATTACAATTCTGTCATTTTCTCACCTTCATGTCACTCTAAATCTCTCTTTTTTTCTTCAGTGGAACATAAAATAATATATTTTGAGAAAAGTCTTAGTGTTTCTTTTTCTCTCCATACAGTGGAAATCAGTGGTAACCAAAACGGTTTGGTTACCAACATTCTTTGAAATGTCTTCTTTTGTGTTCCACAGAAGAAAGGAAGCTGTAAACAGATTTAAAACGACATGATGGTGAGTGAATGATGATAGATTTTTCATCTTTGGGTGCTATCGCATAAGACAGCTATTCACAACATAGCCTATTAAACAGTCAGAAAAATGTTGGTAAGTAACATTTTATTTGTGTGAAGAAACATTTTCATAATTATATGAGGGGGAAAAACAGAATACTACATTCTTAGAGTGTATGAAAAGACTGAAAACTAGAAAACTGACAAATTATACAAAAAAGTAACATCAATTGTATTGAGGAAATATTTACATTTTGCTCAAACACTGAATTTTCAATAATTGTACAAAAAAAGAGACACATACTATAGCCATCTACATACAGTTTGTCTACTTATTATGACCAAAAATCTGTATACAGTGTCAGGCATTATAAAAGTGCAATTTTTGCTTGAGTCATTTAAAGTCTGAGGTTTGGCAGAGTGAGTACACAAAAAAGAATAAGGCTAATAGATGCACAGATTGTGTTTAAGACTGTTACTCTATTACTGTTTTTAAAAAGAACAGTTCACCCGAAAATTAACATTCTGTCATAACATGACAGCATTTTCATTTTTGGGTGAACTGTCACTTTAACATCTACACAGCAACTAGTATGTTTTCTGTGTTGTCTTTATGTGTTTACATGCACGATTGTGATACAATGATATTGCTTAATAACCCAACAACATCTAAGTCCAAACAATGTTCTTTTATCGGGTAACATTTTTAAATGGTGAAAGCAAGACCTGATTGCAACACATTTTTAATATCTATATGTAAACACCTTTACCGATATTTGTACCAATACTTTTATTTTTGCATCAGTATACTGTTGTGCATGTAAACACATCAATGCCATTATTTGAGGTTATAATTATAAGTTGTCCCTTTGCTACCTTTACCACTGCCTCCTCGTACAGACTAACAAGTTGGGGGGAAAAAATCAGTGAAGCTTCTTTTAACGGTGGCTGGTTTAGACTCACATACAAATCACACAAATTGAGATATTTCACATATACCACGTTGTCTTCTCCAGCCCACTTCCACAAGATACACTGGGCAAACAGATGGCAAAACTGCTGCTCAGACGTCCAGTGACATTCTGAAGTGTTGTGCCCTTTGAGCCAACTCTTTGGCAATGCCCTGCACCTCCCGGAGAGCCAGTTTGTCAGGAAAGTCCAAAGCTGCCTTCTTGGTCATCATGGCCAGTTGCTTGAGATGGGCACACAGCTGATTGCTCACAGACAACATTTCCTGGCTGGCCTCACGATTTTTAGCTTCACTACACAAAGTGTTCACAAGTCTTTGGCCCACCATAATGACCAGCTTGCTGTGGGAGATGAACTTTTCAGGTGGCTGGCCATCATTTAGGCTACTTATAAACACACTGATGGCCTTCTGAATAGCTCCAAAATACAGCCGGCAGTGGTCAGAGATGGAAGGCTTCATGGAGGTCTGGACTGGAGTGCAGGGGTTAACTGATAGTGATTTGGAAACCTTTTGAAGACACATTGAGTAATAAATTGTTTTAGAAAGCTGAAATCAATCAGTTTTGAACACAATACTGTGAGCTGTACTGTCAGGGTCACAAGTTTTTACCTGCTTTTTCAAGGTATCACCATTTCTCTTTGATTTTAGACTGCTTTTTGCTGGTTTTAGTTGTTCGTCAAACTCTGTCTTTGTCTGTTGAAAGCAGTAAAGAATTAATACTGAATACTTAAGCAAGAGAACATCAAACTGATTCAAAGTGACAGAAAAGACATTTATAATGTTATCAAATATTTCTTTTTCAAATAACAATCATACAAAATGTTTCTTGAGCAGCAAATCAGCATATTAGAATGATTTCCAAAGGATCATGTGACACTGAAGATTGGATGAAATGGCTGTTGAAAATTTTGATTTGCCATCACAGGAATAAATGATATTTTAAAATATATTATATAAAATATAAATTGTAATTGTAACTTTTACTGTTAATGGATCAAATAAATGCTTAAAAAGTTAAAAAGATTAACTTTGCTGTCATTAATACAAGTCAAATTAATAATTTAATATTACTATTACATGTAGTCTTTAGCAAATTTCAAAATGAATATCCATTTTTCATACTGTACTTTATAATGTTGTGATGCTTAAATTTACTCATAACATTTACAATGATTTAAATTTTTGTTAGCGCATTATTTTAAATTTTCTAAATTTATTATGATTTAATATTTAATTTATATTATAGTATACATTTATAATTTAACCTTTAATATCAACCATTTATCAGTTATAGGCCATAACATGAAAATAATTATGGTCTTATCAGCTTGAGGTGTGATTTGCCTACCTGAAGTTGTACATAGTCACTTTCATCTATTCCTGAGTCTACCATTGGTTCACTTTTGCTCCTTTCAGATGTGCTTATATTCTCCACTACGTCTGGTTCCTTAGCCGGCACTCTGAAAAGAAGCTTTCCGTTAGCATTCAGGATGGATACCAGCCTCTTCACATCCTCTGGTACGGTTCGAGCCACCATAACAAAGCGCTCCAGGTGGTCAGGTGTCTGTGACTGATCGGCATCCTGAGCTAGCGTATCCAGCAGCCAGCCCAGATCTCGCAGAGTCCTTGCAGCCTCTTGAAGGATCAAGCCCGAGTCTTCAATGATGGAGATCTGCTTCAGCAGCCTGGTCTGCAGGTTAAAGTCTGTCAGCCGCTGTGCATTACCTCTGACATCCAAGGCGAAGTTCAAGAAACAGGTGACAGAGTCAGTCGCATCTTCGGTGGCCATGCGGATCTGATGGAGGTGCTGACTCAGATGCTCTTTGGTTCTCCATTGGCTGCTGACGAACAGCATAAGTTTGGGCACAGATTGGCACACCGCTTCTTGTAGCTCAAGCAACCTGTTGCTGACTTCCTCCTGTGAAAGTGTGACCTCACGCAAGGGCTCAGGTTCAGGAGAACTTAGCATGAAGGAGTCGCATGAGCTCCTTGAAGAACTGGAAGCAGTGGAGGAGGTGGACACCGTTGAGCTCCTCTGGTGGTCTTTGTTGTCCCTTCTAATCGTCCCTTTCACAGGCTGCCTGGACGTTGTCCTGCCCCTCGAGGGCCAACGATGAAGTTGGTCATACATGGGTCCAGGTTTATCCCTGTACTCAATCGATTCATGGCTCATTTTAGAGTCCGTTTCAGGAGGGCATTGCTGTATGGATAACACTACAGGACTGTCTGTTTGTTTAAGGCAAGGTGGGACATCATAGATGCATGTATTTGTTGAATTCCCAGTGTCTGTACAAGACTGCACCACTGCTTTGCTCGGTTTGGGGATGTCATAGAGGGGCTGGATGGGACCATGCTTCATTTCAGGCCAGCTGTGATTTGGCAAAGTGTCATAAAGTGGCTTGTTTGAATACATAGTTTTGGGTGGCATGGTGCCATAGTAACAAGTTTCACTTCCTTGTTTTTGGGGGACAACAGGCACATCATAAATCCATTCAGACTTACAGGGTTTTGGCATGGTACTATAACAACATAGAGGCTTTTGAATATCGTCATTGATGAAGGGCACTGGGATGTCATAATTGGGGTCTTGGGAAGCCAATGGGTGTATGGTGGCGACCTAAAAAAGAAGGAAATAAATTGCAAATTGATTCGATTCAGCTTTTGTATTGAATCGGTTATATCAGTAAAGATGTCTTCACAGTTTTAATGTGTTTGTTTGAATTGCTGTACAGGCGTTACTATGCTTACTTTTTTCTTGGTTGAAGCGGCGCATCTCAGTAGTTCATGTCTGTTATGAAAGTCGGTGCTTGACATCAGTGATGTTTTCCTTTCCAAAGGCTTCAGTGTAGATGGCTTCAAAAGACAAGTTACACAATTTACGACGTTATCTTTGATCAGTATCATTTTGCAGAGTATTTCTTAAGGTGACATTCTACTCTTAGTCTTTTGAATGAATAACCAAAAATGACAAGTGCAAGGGTTTTTAAACATTTCAATGCCAAAGACCCCCCAAAATAAAACTAAATTTTTTTCATATATAAAGAATGTAAAAATTAAGTGTTATTTTGTAAAGAAAACATTTTATTTTATTAATATTTCCAAAATTAAATTATACGTATTAAATTATTAAAAAAATTATTTTAAAAAAAGCAAATAAAATAAATAGTATATATATATATATATA